TTTATTTTGAAACATAACATTAAAAAATGATTTTTTTTTTTTTTTTTTTTTTTGTTTTATTCTTTTAATAATTGTATACAAATTATTATTATTATTATCATTATTCTGTAAAAGTAACGAATGAAACCATAGAAAACGTCACAGCTGTGGTGACGCATATTTTGTACCACGAAGAAATACACCTATTGTTCATGTTTTTTTAGTCGAAAACTACATTTTTCTTTTTTTTTTTTTACATTTATTATTGAAATAATAGAAAACGGGGCTATATTTTGTTTAGGTTTCCCGTTATAGTTTTGACGAGATCGTGTTTTTAAGTACCTCTATAATATTATATATTATATTATACTATCGTTATAGTTTTCTTTCGCAAATATTTATAGATCAATACACGTCACAAGTCATTATAACATTTATTTGGCCTACATTTCAATACTCAATCTTATTTGATAAAATACATGGTGAGGTATAAGTTGACTTGTCCCTATCGCTCATCTCAAAACTGTTTTGTTATTTAAATAGAACATTTCGGAGGTCACCGTGACTTTATTATTACTCGTCGGACAATCATTATATCTATATAATACAATCGTGTAGTATAAATGCATTTTTTTTTGTGTCGGTGAACTAAATACTTTTGAACCAGAAATCTTTCTCCAATCAAAAATTGTATAGGATTTAGCATCGGCTTCTAAAACCATATACTGTTCATTAATAAAATTATTTTTAAACGGGAGGTTGATTTTTGGGGAAATTAATTTTCAAGCAGTTTTGAAATAGAAGATAGAAAGGAACTCGATCTGTAGTTTAAAGTATTCTATTTATCGCCAGTTTTAATGATTGACTGAATATGGCTCGATTTCCTGCTATCGGAGAAAGATGACGTACGAAGAGACAATTCGTATAGGAAATAAAGAAAAACAGATTTCGAGTGATGACAATTACATAAAACAACAGGTAGTATATCGTCGGGATCCAAATAGAGTTTTCTTTAAAAACGTTCAAAATCCTCAGCGAGTGAAAAATCAATGTAGTTATTACGTCAGGTAGAGATAAGAGAAAGAGATATGTTTTCCGGTTTGTTAGGAATGTTAGATGGACATAAACTGATTTGAAGAACGAAGTAAAAATATTCGATTTACAGCTTAATTTATTAATATTATTTTTAATCATTATATTTAGAATGGAATTTCTAAAATATTAAATTATAACAAAAGTAGTACTTAAAGAATTTAAAATGTCCCGTCCACTATTTGCATACAGAAATATTACAACTGTACAACGTATTAGGTTTCTCCAAATTCTTTCAAAATTGTTTTTGGAATTTAAATAGTTTATTGTTTAAGAAACGGGGAACGTAGCTCGGGAAACAGGGACTCGCAGCGTGGGTTTCCTAACTTGTCTAGTTTTACGTGGATACAAAATGTTTGACTTTTAGAAAACTTGATGTAATGCTCATCATAATAACATTATATATAGTTTGTAATAAAATATATTTATACATTTTTCGAACCCATTTCCGACTACTCTATTATAATATTGTGTACATTATCACAATGCTATATAATATCTTATACAAATTCGTTTCAATTATCACTGTGCCGTCTGCAGTTTATTGTTGTTGTCCGACTGGAGCGCGAAGGGTTCGGGAGGTTTCCTATTTATTGTTATAAACGAACAGACATTCGACCGTGCAGACGTCGGTTGTTGTCGTTGGGTAGATATATTGTTTGGAGCAGATAAACCTCCAGTAAAAGATGTTTAATTAAGCGTCAGGGCGTTGTCCGTTCCACGTTTCCTATACCGCGCCGCCGCCCAGTATTTCAGGATTTTAATGCTCGTACAGAAGGTAAGGCACCGTACTATATCTATTACCTAACGACGTCCCGTTTATTTTAATATTATTATAAAATGGACCGTCGGAGTGCTAAACGAAACCGGCGTGCGAATATAAATGTACTCGTCAAGCTTAATTAAACGTGGACGGAGACGGAAGAGGTGGCAAAGGCATTCGCGAACAATGCCCACGGACTATCACCGTCGTCGTCGTCGTCATCGCAGCCGTTTACTTCGCTGACATTAAAAATGACGGTCAAAAAATAGGTGGCAATAAAGCGAAGGGAAAAAAATCCCTGGAAATCAAAATTATACAGCGTGTTTCACATAAACGGCAACACGGAATTTTTCGACCGAATAAAGTTATATTGAAATGGGATTCTTTTAAAAAAAAAAATAATAGGGATAGATGTATTAAAATATATGTTTTGAGCCGATTTTCAAAAGTGTTTATACATATTTATACTCTTGCGGTGTTGGCTTGTGCACTACAATTTACAATTTCTTAAAAAGAATCGCCTGGTTTTTGCACCAGATTTTTTTCCTTTATCGAAAAATATTAAAATCGTCGGTTTTACATTAAATTAACGTGATTTGATTTTATGTTTTCTAGAAACTGAAAATGCGTATATTAAAAAAAAAAAACACAAAAAATTCTGTAATCTATAATAATCAAATTCAATCGGATTGAAATGTTTCGTGTTGTTGTTTTAGTAAAAATTATTGTGTTCCTCCTATACGAACTATTACGAATTCTTCCTAAATACTTGATAAAATTGGGTACAT